ATAACTGCTAAACAATTGGTTTGAATGCCAGTTTGACTTCAACTAGTTTTAGATAGTTAGCATGTTATGATTAGTGAAGTAATAGCTTTTGTTTCTCTCAAGCTGGTGAGGGATGGCTCTCTTTGTTTCCCCAGCCTGTGCCAGTGCCTTCTTCTTGATGTAATACCTCAACCAATTTGACAAACTACTTTCTTCATACCTTTACACCACGCCACATAAATCAGCATACATCAAAGGAAGGAAAATGAGAGTCAAAACAATCCACTGAGGGTTGGGTAGCTTCTGTATTCCGTGTGATAAGACAAAGGCAAATTTGTGAAGAACCAAGCAAGAAATATGTGTGTGGAAAGTTGGCTTAGAATCCTCTCCACAGGTAGGCATCCTTCACGTCTTTTGACCAGTTTCCAATACCTCTGACAATCACATGGATTGACTGCAAGTCTGCAAGTGAACACTTGCAGTTAAAAACATCTGGGCAGCTGTCTACCTATGCTCTGTTTATAATTCAGTTCAAAGTAACATTTCCATTTACTGTGGTATACTTCTGGCTTACATTTTATCAAGCATGCTTTAAATAGACCTAGAAGAATATGGCCCTGCCAATAACACTGTTTTGGTGGTCAGATTAAGAAGTTTCTCTGTTCTTAGAAAAACAGGTAGAATGAAATGGGTTGATTTTTAAATATTGGCCTTATGGCATTTGATAATCCCAATCATTCGCTCTGGGGGTGGGATTTTGTTTTTTTGTTATACATTGCTTTTCTCTTGAGGTTTGTATGTTTTATTTGTAAGAGATCTTGACCCTTTTAGAAAGGTGCTATTATAATGGGGAACAGTAGAAGGAGATCAAGGAACGAACGGTTCCTTTTAAATCATACGCTCAGTTACTCACTGCACACAGTATGGGCAAATTCTGTCTTTCTTTCCAGATATTCCCTTTTATTAGAGCACTGAAATTGTAAACACACAAATAGTTGGGGTTAACCCTAAACACAAAGCCTTTTTGGAGCAACATTTACAGCTCCTGTGCATTTTGTGAATCATCGTAGGATACAAACCTGGGTTTGCAGTAGCAGCTCCAGATAGTTGCAAATGCCAACACCCCACAACCCTTTTCAGAGTAATAAAGAGCAGATGGGGTGACAAAAGAGAAGAAAAGAAGACAATCCTCCATTCTTTGCAGTGACCAGGATCACATTTCAAAAGTGCAGAAGGGAGGGGAGCAGAATCAAAGCTTTTCCGGCAAGCTGGCGCTCCTAACTTTAACAATTTCATTGTGTGTTTCAGCTTCAAATAAGCATCCGTGTTACAGATTTCAGCTTTTTAAAAAAGCAAACATTATTTTCCAAGTGTTTCTGTTGATTTAATTTTGAGTGGTATGGAAACAGAAGTAACCGTATACAGACAGATAATCTAATTTTCTAACGCAAGGATTGTTTAGCCAGTTTCAGTAAAGTGTTGCAGTCTCAGAATGCCCTTTCTTGCCTAGCTCGTGCTAGAAATCAATTAAAGCAAGTGTTATGAATTCATAGAAATACCTTACAAAAGCACTGGTTTTTGAATATTTCTACTTAGAAGCTTCAATGGGAGGCTGGTAGTCAGTTTTTCTACCTTGATTTCACATATGAGAAGGGAACTTTGGATAAGACTACGCAGCATCCATAACAGCTTACTTTGTACCTTAGAACAGCTCTGCCTTGCTCTTACCTATGTGCTTCAGTCAGGCTGTCCTTAAAAAAATAGACTGCACTGGAAACTTGGAAAACTGGATCTCCCATTTAATGCAAGAGATTAAAATGCACAAATACAAGATGTTAAAATGCACAAATGCATTACGCAAAGTGCAACCCAAGGGCTACAGCTCACCCTCAGACTCTTCTTACCTCCCCCACGTGCCCCACAAATACTGTATTGCTTCACCATGAAAATGGCTGCCCTAGAAGCATGGGGGAGGGGAGCAACACTAACCATTTAAATGCTATCTCCCCCTCGCCTGTATTTTAAATGTTTGCAACCAGCTTTTAAAAAAAGATTGGGAATTATATTTTGTTCATTTGTTTTTAAAAGGATATATGAAAGAACAACAACAGCAACGAGAAGACCCTCCACCATTGAAATAATCCTTACTGAGGTCTGGGACAAGACAAAAATGACTTCCAAACTGAGCGAAGTTGCCCCACCCATTTTCTCAACCATATTGCCTTCAGACACTGCGTCTTAATGTAAAGTGCCGAGGTTGGTTGGTCTTTTGGGGAACAGGGCTGCATAAAAGTATATTATTAAAACATTAAACATGTTACAAATGTCTTTATCCGGCATTTGTCTACACAGAAATCCACACCACTCATGTACTAATCTGTAATTTTCTTTGGTCAAAGAGGATTAAAAAACTGAGCGCACAGATCTAAGCCATGGGCGGAAAACATGCCGCTCTCCAGATGCTGTTGGATTGCACTTTCCATCAGCGCAGTCAGCATAATAATAATTACTATGTGCTGTCAAGTCAATTCTGACTTGTGCTGCTTGCCCAAAGCTGCGACAGGCTGACTTTTCTCCCTGGAGGCACAGTGGGGAATCGAACTCTCAGCCTCTGGCTCTGCAGCCAGCGTAGCCAGCGTTAAACGATGATGGAAGTTGAGATGCAATAGGATGGGGGAGGGGCTACGTATTCCACATCCTTGACAGAAGCATCAAAATCAGAATTCATGTAGCTTCAAGGCAACGAAAAATGCTGTAATCAAACTTTTGTCTAAATAACAGAGGCAACCTAGGGTACTATAAAGTCGTAACAAAACCACTGGAGGACAGTAGCTCCCAGAAAACATGTTTCAGTGTTTCAACCTTGACAAATCATTTGCCCCAATAACTAGAAATGAATTGCATACATTTATCCTAAATGTGAATTATACCTAATCATGCCTAATCTATAAAGCACATTTCCTCTCTTTGAATGATTTTGAACTAGCATCTAATGGTCTGTGTTTCAGTTACCGAGCTTGTGGAAGACTTTATTAGTACAGATCTTCAAAATAAGGACTGGTGGAAGATGACTCTCATGGCATGCCAGGTGAGGGCTGCAATTATGGAGGGTACAGAAAAGCAGGAGAGAGCTGTTTTTGTCAAAATGGCTGCATCAAAAGGTGGCTTCCATTGGTTTCAAAACCCTAGGGTGACTAGGTATAAAGAACTTGTGCACCTGAAATTTCACCAACAGCCTTGGGAATCTCATGTATTCTTCTGCTCTAGGCCTCTCTCTCCATCCCACAAGCAGAAGTACCCAGCTATGTCTGGGTTCAACTCTCTCTTCCAACACCACTCCAGAGCTCTTTCTGTCCCCACTGACCTTTGTCTTCTTCTTCCCTCTTTGTTCAGTCTTTCCTTTGCCTGTCTCTCCTCTGCAACTTTACAAAGCACAGTGAGTTCCTTGTCCTAACTCTTGAGATTGCTGTACTGCCGTTTCCCAGGTGCTGATATTTCCATACTGTTTTACTATTATGCAGATCACACACTGGGCCATGAAAAGCTTCACCATCACATGCATACACAATCCCTTGCTAGTGTTTCACTCAGAAACACTTTTTTTTTCAAGAAACAAGGAGAGGCGGCTTCCCAACTTTGATATGAAGTTCCTTTCTTTTTAAAAATCAGTTAGAAGTCTAATTCTGTAGTACCATCCAGGTCAATAGATCTTCTTCCTGTTACAGTCCACCCTCTATGTAAATAGAGGGTGGGCTGTGGGCTGAAAAACGATGCAATTCTGAAAGGGGGCCTTTATCACCACCCTATTCTTTTCCTTCCCCATTTTCTCTCCCGCTGCCCTGCTCCAAACACAGGCAAAGTACAATTACTGTATATGGAACAAAAAATTGCCACCAAAAAAGCAACCTTTACTGCCTTCCTGCAACGTGGTTTTGTGCTGCAGCGGTCTAAAACACTTTTTGGCTACAGATGTTTTGGTTTGATCTGCAGCCACTTTTTTGTGTCTCTGAATACAGGTACAAGCATGCAGATCTTCCAATGGATTTATGCAGGAAAAGATGTATTTTAATTCAACATGGGGAATGTAGTACTGGGTCCACAGATCACTTTGCTGTGCTTTTTGGCTTGTACTTCTTGTGGATTAACCTATGCATCACCCTCACCCTCTTCTGACCTTGTATGCTTCTATGCCAGGATACTATTTTAGCTATCCAACTGTTCTACCTCCTATTAAAAAACAAAAGTAGAAGAAAAATGCCACTTTAAAAAAAGACAAATTAAAAATGTAAAACAATTATTTATCATTATTTAAGAGAATCAGAATCTGCATCTCTCCAAGATATATACTGCCAGGGCAGCAAGAGAAGCTCTGCTTCCTGGAGAAAGCATTGCTTCCATAGAACTGACTGACATGTATTGCGATCCTCTCACCCTGTTCTGTCAGGCCAGATCTGTAACCCCAAAGGGAAGAATTTCTGCCTCTCCATGTGGAGCTAAATTTTTTTAAAAAAAACTTTTTGACAATTATTAATGTCCTTATGAGGTATGAACGTCATCATATGGCACATAGGGTTGCATGCAGCCTACATTTTGCTCACTCCACATGTAGTGCTTGAATTAGTACAGGGGAAAACAAGATTCAAATCCCTACTCAGCCCTGTGTTCAGTCGTTTAGTCGTGTCCGACTCCTCGTGACCCCATGGACCAGAGCACGCCAGGCCCTCCTATCTTCCACTGTCTCCCGGAGTTGCTACTCAGCCCTAATGCTCATTTATTTACCTTGGACCAATTGTTTTTGCTTAGTGTAACCTACCTTGCTTAGTTTATGTGTAAGGATAAAAAATAGAGAGGAAGACCATGTACCCTGAGTTGGGCTCAATGAATGAAAGGCAGGCACTAAAGAAACAAATAAAATATAATCACCTCTGGTGTGCCCTCTCTAGGAACCATAGTACCGTGCCTTAAATCCTGCTATTTTGTGCCAATAAATAAAAGATGAAGTAATATGTAGGACACAAAAATGGTTTAAATATATGCTTTTATTTAAAAAAATATGTCTCAAATATAGCACTGGAATCCAAGTAGCAGCAAACATAAAAGGCACAAACGTGTGGAAACAATCCAGCTATGACAGAGTCTTAAAAGCAGTCTTCACGAAAAACCTGGAACGCTATTTATGCTGATTCATATCGTGCAAGTTACACCATGCCAACTTCTGTGAAGGACAGAAGAAGAGAACATTGGTTTCTTGTAACTTCTAGTAAGGTACCCATACGCAACAGGAAATCCTTACCATGGATCTTAATGGTGGGCTTGAGTAAGCACTTTCAAGAGAGAGAGAGCTTGGTACTTCTAGATTCCAGAGGGATGTGTGCCTTTGCAACTAAATATAGGCATTTTTCTGGTATTTTTATATTTTTAGATACCAATGAGCAATATATAGTTAAAAATCATGAGTAAACAGATTTTTCAATCAGTTTATGCACCTGCAAGATTATAGTACAGATCAGTACTTATGATCCTGGAAATGTTCTCCCAGCACCTAATCTCTTGTCTGTGCTACAACATATAGGCAGAACGCATAGGCTGGTCTGCCAATGCGTTTCAACGGTGAGGACATCACCATGAAAGGATCCTTCTGTGCACAGGATGGCACTGCTTGCCCATCTGAAATGAATGAGAAACTCCATGTCCATGTTAGAGCCCTGTGGGCATATTAAGCACTGCTGAGTAGGGCATCGGTTTAAAAGCTGAATACATTATCAAAAGCAAGACAATTCCCAACTCACATTGGCACAATGCACTGACATGAGAGGAGATATCAGATGTAAAGCTGACAAACTGGCTCTGAAATTTACAAAAACGAAGAGATCTAAAAAAGATTAGTGTATAAAGTCCCATATACCCAGTGTAAAAAAAAAAAAAAGACAGTTAGGTACATAATTGAAAAGTAGGATCCCATAATACAACTTAGCTCTCCAGTCTGACAATAACAAGAACTGTTCTTTTTAAGGAACAAATGTTACTAACAGTAGTTATTAACAGTAGTTAAATTAAGCCTATTCTGTAAGTTTCCATATTCTTTTTATTTCCATTAGCATTACACATGAATGCTCAAAAATAGTGTGTTTTAAACATTTAGAGAAATACATAGAGGAATAAGGCCCTTGTAAGAAATGAAGTGAAATAATGTAAAATACCAGTGTAACAATGATCTCCAATTTAACAGTACATAAAAATAGAGCTGAGTTCAGTATATACAGTGTATGTTTAGCATTCTCATATCTCTGACATCATTTTGTCCTGGAATGACTCAGTAGAAGTCAAGCTTTCAGTGCCATCAAATTATATCTGACAACTTGAATCTTTGGAGTTCAAGCCAATTCATCAGACAGTCGAAAAGAGGTACCCACTGTTGTGTGAGGAACGAATATCCAAGTCTGCAGGCCTCAATTCAGCACACACTCTGCAGCTTCCCTGATAAGCGAAGCGGCTTTGTCCAATTCCTGTTCTGTTTGTTCTACGGTGACTACAACTCGAATGCTGGCAGGAGCAAAAACGGGTCAGTATTTTTTTTTAACAGCACAGCAATAAACAAATAAACAAAACTGCTTTAGAATTGTAGGCTGGTAGAATCAGACTACTCAAGATTAGGTGCACAACAAATTCAAGTGATTAATCAGGTGATACTAGGAAAGTATCGGTACTGCACAATAATGGCTCCATCCTAAAGAATCCTGGGATCTGTATTTTAGTATTTAAGGACTTAAACTTCTCCACCAGAAAACTCCTTTAAACTACACCAGATAATTCTAAGTGACTTACCAAACAATTTTATGACTACTTCCTCCCTCATTAGCAAGGAAAAATAGAGGTTTTCCTTTTTAATACAAACTTAAAAATACAAACACAGGAATCAAAATCTGGGGAGCTGACAGTACTGGTTCAGAAGGACCAACATTGTGACACAATATAAGGCAGCTGTATGTATACATTCTCATTGCTGCTTGTCTTCACTGAGATCTGTCCAAATGGTTTTGGTGCATATTAACTTCCATTCCAAAATGGAGGCTAAAAGTTTCTTGCCTAAATTATACTAGCATAAGGTAAATGATGTAATATACAGTGGCAGATGGACACTTTGATTCCTCATTGCTTAATCTTATTCTCACTGCACACAAGTCAGGTGACTTCATGTGTGCTTCTGTTGTCTGCAAATAATTTTGAAGGGTCTATCTATTCAGTATGCCAATTTGTTATTTTTAATACAATGATTTTTTATAATCAGGAGACTGAGACAAAATTTATTTCAGGATTTTCACCTAAGTCTACATGCGATTAAAAGTGCTGTGAAGCTGAACAGACTGGTGACAGGTGAATGACTGTACTAACCTGGGTGGCGGGAGAAATTTCTCTTCTTTCTCCAAATAGCGAGCCTGAGTTAATGCAATACCTCTGTTCATACACTAAGATACAGATACATAACCAGATATAAAACAGAGAACATCAGATGTCATTCTGATATTTTAACAATTATTGCAACCTGTAAACATATAGTACCATTTAAATCTTAAGTTTCTTTCACTGCCCCCCCCAACTCACAATCTCTGCTTGCCATACTTCAGCTCCTCCATTTTCATTATTCCATTTCCATGTATCACATTACCTACATATGAAAGCAATGCTGAACTATATTTCAGAATTCTACACAGCCCTCCCCTTCGGTCCAAGTATAACAGTGGTTCCCAGTCCTGGTTCCCCAGATGTTCTTGGACTAAAATTCCCAAAAACCTTCACTGGCCAGTACAGTGGTGCCTCGCATAATGAGCGCACTGTTTAATGATGAATTTGCATAGCGATCCCTTTTTTGGGATCGCTAATGGGATCGCATACCGATGCCTTCTATGGCCGAAAATTGCTTTGTGACGATCGGTAAGCGTTTCGCTTACCGATCTTCGCATTGCAATGTCAGGGAATCAGCTGTTCGGCGGTTCCAAAATGGCCGTCGGAACACCCAAAAGGGCCACGCGCAGCTTTTCGCGCCCTGCCCTTGCTTACCGAGAGCGCAAAAATGCCTGCGCTATGGAGGAACATCGCATAACGGTGAGTTTTGGGCCCATCTGGAACGCATTAAATGAAGTGGGCTTTTTTGTTCCGTATAGCGATGTTTCCCCATAGCGACGGTTAATTCAGAACGGATTAACCTCGCTATGCGGGGCACCACTGTATTTCTGAGAGTTGTGGTGCAAGAACACCTGGGAACCCAAGGTTGAGAACCACTGGAGCAAAAAAGATCAGAATCTTTTACTCTAATTTCCAACTGAATATGAACACAAGAAGAGCCCTGCTGGATCAGGCCAAGGGCCCATCTAGTCCAGCTTCCTGTATCTCACAGTGGCCCCACCAGATGCCTCTGGTAGCACACGAGACAACTAGAGACCTGTCCCCTGATACCACTCCCCTCATTACATCTGAACTCAGAAAAAACAGGGGTTATTTCAGCAATTGTTTATTGAAACAAGCCAACTTCTGTGTTTAACTTGTTTGGTTTGTACTCCTCTATCTGCAACTGTTCCAGGAAAGAGAAGGACAGCACTCAAATCAGAGGTTGATCCAAGTCTTTGGATCAGTTTGGAAGCACCTAGAGCTCATGGCCTTGTTCTCTCTTCTTTGAACTGGAAATTCATGTATGCATTTCAAACAGAAACCCCCTGATCTTGAGAAGACAATCTACAGGGAAAGCCTGTAGAAATTGAACATCTGATGCATGGGAGTATGCAGATCAATGGCTGGCTGGCTGAAGATAAACACAATAAATCTGAGAACCCTGAAATTAATTAAGATATTACTAACAATTTAGGATCTTTTATTTAGCAAACAGTTGATTAAAAGCAAAAAATCCACTTCTTTGGCAGTATCTGGCAATTTGTGGAAGAATAGTTTTCAGCTCACTTGTTGCATTCAGACATTATATCAAAATTTGCAATTTATATTTTTGAGTTGTCTTCTATCAGTCTAATAAAGACTTATACCAAAACAGGATTTCACATTTTACTTTGGCATTTTATTCGAAGTAAAATTGGTCTCCATGTTCAGTAATCTCCATATTCAGCGGTCATGTGGTACAAAGACTACCAGGACGGAACCACTTCATACAGTACTTCAAATTCGAACACTGAATCATTGGTTCCTCTCTCTATTCTTTGTTAAGTGGAGCTGTGACTTGGAGGCATGGAGACTAGCCTTCTCCCTCCCAGCAAGGTCCTCCTCAACCATAAATTTCCAGCTGCAAATGGGTAGCTGTGCTTTGAAGCAATATTGTTCAGAAAGGATACTATCACTCAACAGTTGTGAGTCAGGAGATTTAGCTCCTAGACTGCCTTTCATATGACTCCTTAATAAAAGGGGCTAATTCTAGAGGGATGAGTGGCCATATCTGCTACTTTTCAAACACAATTTAACCCCAGCTAAAAGAGTAGGTTCAAGAATGCATGTTCAGTTAAATACACTATGTTGTTTTAATGGACAGACATCTAAAATTTGCTAAAAAGCATCTTACATAATCTATTATTTCCTTCAATAACCTCATATCACCCTCTCGAGATCCGGTGCTCTCCTCCAACTGGAGGTGTAATGCTGGAGAAAGTGATTCGCCCACCACTCGTAGACCAGGAATCCTAAATAAAGCAATCACACCAAAACAATCTAAATAACTGATAACTGAAAAAAATAGAATGTTTGTAAAATTAGCAATAATGTTGCTACAAATGTGAACTAAATGTGACCACCTACCTTTGCACTGGAGTACAAGGCTAGAGCATACCTGACAGTCAAGTCATCAAGGTAGCCTACCCAATCCATCAGAAAAAACTTCCCTCTTCCCATCCATCCATTCACATAAACAAACCCATAATATGCCATAAAGCAGCAGCAAAGCAGGCTTTAGGTACAGACAAACATGGAGAAACCCTCCTATTTCCCCTTTTCTTATCTCAAATAGAAGAGTATCAAAAAGAAACAATCTGGGATCAGGATTACTTTCCTACATGCACAGCATTACATTTCACCACAGCAAGAAAAAACTCTCTTGATTTAGACCAAATAGTACACTTCCTATGACACCATCTAATTCCAATGAATCAAGAGGGTGTTATCGTACTATGTACAAATATTGTGCTGGGCAGCCCTAGCATGACGCTCCAGGGTTCTTCCGGCAAGGACTGCACTCTGTCCTGCACCCTAGCTAAATGGGTTCACGGTCTCGTGGCCAAGCAATGTAAGAAACACAAAGCTTGCCAGAGTGCCTAAGAGCAGTAAAAAGATAATAGCAGGAGGTCTACAAAATTTGATATCAGAGAAATGCAAAAGATGAGCTATTAAAGATGCATTTCAGCTCATCCTTTTCACAGTGGCTATTGGTAACAAGAGCTGGCAAAAACTTGAACACGAACAGGGAAGGAAGGAGAGGCAACTCCCTTGAGCAGTGAAAGCTTGTACTTTCAGGCCATCATCCGATTAGCACTATAGCCTTCATCAGAATGTCACATGATAAAAGATAGAAGAACAGCTTGTTAAAGCTGTGCAGGAAAGGTTCTGCTGAATTCGGTTTCAACAGCATTTTTCGATACGTTACTTCCATGGAAGAGGTCACTTCAATTTCTGAAAGCTAAACATTAAAATTCCTGGGGAAAGTATATGGTTTCAAGTGTGCAATCCTGGAATAGTTCATTCAGAAGATCATTTTAATAATAGGACTCCATTACTAAAAGGGGACCAATATTTGGACAAACATGCATTACCTGGACATGAACCAGTATTACGCAAGCAATTCCAAGCATTAATTCACCAAGTTTTACAGAAGCATTTAAGGAGATTGTACTTTTTGTCTCTTTTTAAAAAGTGAGTTTATCAGATGTTTAGTGTTTATCTTCATGTGACTATCCAACCGTTAAGCACAATATCTGAAACTATATTGACATGGGGCTTATATGTTAAATGTAGCAGCTCAGATCTAAATCTCATATTCTTTGCCAAAAAAAAAGTATATGCCAGAACTGTAATTATTTAAAGGGCAAAAATTCTCATAATTACAGGAGTTCATAGTAACATATAAGTCATGATCATAACATTCTGGAACAATATAGTAAAATGGAATCTCAAATGCACTCTTGTTTGGACTGATGACAGACATTAGATATGTTTTTATATAACCACTTGACTAAGTGGACACCAAGTTTTAAGTATTAGGTAGACAAAATATCTAGAAATGCAAGGATATGAAACAGACCATTAATATGGTTTCAGAAATGAAACTAGCAAAGGAACACTTACAGAACATTAAAAGCAAGAAACTATCTTTGAACCGCAGCCAATTCAAGGCTTTGACATTTGCGGATTTAGCCCTTCATAATAAATATGCTCTGAGTTTCTAGGGGCTCCCACACAAATCCCAAGCTGATATCCAAGTTCCTTTCTTCACTTACTTAAAATAAACCATCACCTGACTTCAAGGATGCACTCAGTCAGAGAGTAACAAAAAGAAAAACAAGGAACCAAACAGCTCTTGCAAACCAAAGTTCAGTTAATTCTCGTGTCAGACAAGAGAGGCCCACTTTGGCTATTTCACAATTGTGTTCTACAGCTGGAACTGCCCCCCCCCTCCAGCCTTCCCACTCACCTCCAAATATGTAGATGTTTTAAATTGAAAAAAGCTCCCTTAAGTGGCTTTAAATGTGCAGAAAAAGTGCCCTGTGCCCCCTAGAGGGCATGAGGGGAACTTTCTGAATAAACAATAATGTTGGAACTTTTTCTCTAAAAGGCTACAGGGTGCTGAAGGGCACACGGGCCCTAGGAGAGAGGGATACTTTGCTGACCCACATTCTAACAACTATTTAACTTAGGCAAAGACAGGAAATTTGGCACAGCCTGTTTCCAACTAAAACACAAGCTAGAAGAATTGTAGCAAAAAACACAAGAGTTAAAGCAAAGGGAAAGACAGGCAAATAAATATGATACACCTGCACAGAGAATATAAGTACAAAGCCATCTTCCAAAATAAACACTATCTCTGTAATTCTGGAAGAAGGGCTTCAGTGTCCAAGGACAGAGGTTTATCATAGCAAAGGCACAATAATACAAACCCTCATGAAAGATTTGTGCTTGGAAACTAATTTTGCACATGAGAGATTTGAATTACTGCACCCCAGGTTTTCACTGGTCTTTGCAGAGAGTAAGGTCTTAAATGTCTGTACCTGGAAGTACAGGATATCCTTCAATATGGAGAACTATCTTGGCAGTAATATTCTGTTGGCATCTAAAGAATGATTGCATCATGCTTTTTGACCAGCAGATATACATGAATTAGTCCGCCTTTTATTTATAGATATATAGACTGCACCTTTAGAATCAACTAAACACTAGTAGTCTCTGTTAATAATTCAGCATACAAACAGGGGGGAAAAACTCTGACTGCCTACATGAACTATTTTGTGCATGGTATGTTTACTTATTCTAGCTACTGTTTAATACTGCATTAACAGAGAAGCTGTGGTTGCCTTAATCAATACATGCCTGTGAAATGTACTGGAGAAGCCTGTTCAGATTGTTAGGAGCAATATGCTCATACTATATTTCAAGACTCTACTCTAAAAATAAAGTTTCTAAGATAGATCACCTTAAAATATAATTACAATTGTAATCCAAAGCATACCTGTTAAGTTTCTAAAGCAACAAAAGTAAACGTACCATATATTTCCGTGTATAAAATGACATTTTTTCCTAAAATCATTAGAGGAAAAATTGAGGATCGTTTTATACACGGAAGGAAGCAGTCACACATGTGCACTTGGGTGCCTCTTGCTGCCGCCACTGTCGCCCAATTGCCTCTTCCAGAGCTCACAGCTTGTCCCCTCCGGTGGCCAAGGCAGCAGCAGGAGGAGGAAGCAGAGACGGAGGCAAAGGAGCATTCACATGCGCTGGGGCACCACTTGCTGCTGCCTCCTCACGCCCGCCCAATCACCACCTCCAGCAAGACTGACGGGCTCAGCTCAGTGGCTGCGTTGTCCCCTCCTGTGGTGGAGGCAGCAGGAGGCAGACGTGAAGGAGCATTCACACGTGCTCCGGCACCCCTTGCTGCTGCCTCCCCCCACCTGCCCTATTACCGCTGCCTTGTCCCCTCCCATGGTGGAGGCAGGAGGAGGGAGAGGCGAAGGCAAACAAGCACCCGTGCACACTCAGGCGCCTCTTTCTGCCTCGTTAGCAAAAAGCCCCGTGCCCCTCGCCTTTTGACAAGGCACGGAGGTTAGCAGAAAGGAAAAGGAGCAAGGACTCCCCTTCCTTTTTTGCTAAAGCCCTATGCCCCTCACCTTCTGAGAAGGCACGGAGGTTGCAAATAAAACTTCAACAATATATTCTGTTGACACTTGGACAACATAGCATAAATGTTATCTCCACTTAGACGGCGCTGATGTGGTGCAATACTGCAGCAATCAGAGGCCACCAAGACCTGTCACTCAATCAAGGGTGGGGATTTCTTAATCAGAAATATTTTGAGTGCCTATGAACATAAGCAGAATATTCTTAAACAGTCGCGCTCCGGCGGCTCTCACTGCTGCCCATTGATTGCTCCCTCCGCCGCCACCAGAGCCACTCGCAGGCTCCCTTCAGGCAGGGGATAGGAGGCACAAATGGAGGCAAAGAAACAGCCACACTCCGCCGGCTCTCGCTGCTGCCCATTGATTGCTCCCTCCACCGCCACCAGATCGCCTCCTCCAGTGCCACTCGTAGGCTCCCTTCAGGCAGGGGACAAGGCAGCGATGTGAGCTGGAGGTGAGCCCCGGCAGCCGCACTGGAGGAGGTGATCGGGAGGCAGAGGCAGCAGCAGCAGGAGAGATGGAGGTGGAGGAGCAGTCAAGGGGCACCTCACGGCTCCCCCACCTCTGGCAAGGGTCAAAATTAGGGGGTTGTCTTATACATCGGGGGGGGGGACTTATACACAGAAAAATACAATATTTTCCAAAGTGGTTCAAATTATACCATAGCTTTTTAAAATGCCTGAGTTATTGGATTATGAACTCATTAGCAGCCACTTCACATTCAAAGGTACATTTTCTATAATTAGACAAAACAGTCACTTACCCTTGTAAAGCCTTGTGTATTTGCTTACATTTTTGCTGTAAAATCTGAAAAATACCTAGACAAAAAGCAAACTGACTTTTAGTTTCAGTGTCAAAATGACAGAAACAATGTAAGCAGCTATTTTAATCCTATGCTATAGTTTGCCAATGCAACTAGATTCTACCAAATAAAATATGGGAGGGAACCCTGTTAGTTCACGCCCTGCTGCTTCTGTTAGGTACAGGGAAGAAATGGGAGGTGCCCTCAAATGGCAAATGTGGTTGCAGAAGCGTATCAGCATAGGAACATGCTGGCTTTAAACCTAACCACTAAGAAACAGCTCTCCTTTCTTCCTCCCAAAGGGAGTAGTAAGTAACTATTAAAAAGCAGCAGGCCAGAAAAGATGCATTAGAACAGGCTTGTCCAACATGCGGCCCGAGGGCCACATGCGGCCCAGGTCAGCTCGTAATGCGGCCCAGTGCAATTTTTTTATTTTTAAAGAAATTCCAAAGTTTCAAGTTACACTGCCGGTGCTTGCGGCCAGAATGTGGCCACGGCATGTCACAACAGTAAAGGGGAAGAGAGGGAAGGAAGGAAGGAGGGGGAGGGGAGGGCACAGGGGTGCTGCGTGACTGCATTGCACCATCCCCCTCAATAGGTGGACCCCCTCCCGGCCCCATAAAGCTGCCAGAGTCGAAGCTGGCAGCCTCTGCTGTCTGGGATCGCAGCTGCCGGTAAGCGTGCTTGGAGCGGGGCTGTGGAGGACAGCTAGGGCTGCCCCCCCCATGCGGCCCAAACCAAATGTATGTGCGGCCCAAACCAAATTTTCATCTTCTAATGTGGCCCAGGGAAGGTGAAAGGTTGGACACCCCTGCATTAGAAGCTTCAAGCGCAGAGGAGTTCTAGTGCACTGTCCAGGTTTCAAGAGGAATTATTTTCTTAACGAGGGCAGGGCCATTTGTGGGAGACATTCCTTAAGAGTGTGCTCGGAGTTCCACCATTCTCAGTAAGCAGAGATCTACAAACATCTATGAAAATGTCTCCCCAGATATTAACTCCTTAGAATTACATTTTCACACATGCAAACATGAATTGAAAGTCGAACAGATGCAGAATTTATCCAGGACATTTCAATTGCTTTTCAAAGCATTGGTGGCAATCAATAGTTTTAAAAAAGACATTATTGAGAAGGATACCTGGATTTTCTTCCATAATATTAAGGCCCTCAATGGCAGCAACAGCCAAGAGTGGAGGCAGTGAGGCTGAAAAACAGTACCCCTGACCAGAAAGTCTCTGGGAATAAAAAAGAGGAGTGAGTGAATGACAAGCCATTGGAGAACAGGGTGAATTCATTTAAATATTTAGCATAGATTTTATTATTCTAAAGTTGCTCTTATGTCTACCTTGACACTACCTATATGTGTGAACCATGACTTGTTAAATAAGTTTACAAGCCCACCATCATTTTTACCATCATATAATAGGATGGACATTTTAGTCTCTCGTGTCTTCATACAATACCCACAAAGGCCTAGACTGGCAATGCTGGCCATTCTTCAGAATTGTACATGAACAAAGTAAACAATATCCTCAAATCTCATCTGCCTGCTATATATGTTTTTAAAGTTCTCTTCCTCTTCTACCAGAAGTTGGTACAACAAATTCTTTTGGTATGTTGTCTTGAAACAGCTCTTTATTGCACTCACCTTTCTTTTAATGAATAAAACACCACCCGTTTTTTAAAAACTCACAACAAATCTACTGTTTTTGCTACTCGGAATGTAATTATTTTTCAAAATATTTTTTTGGTCTTAGGCCAGTTTTCAATGAATTATAATGCAGGAAAACAGAAGGTTACCAGGTTGACCCCTTTCAGGGGAGAGGGAAATTCTCAATGGAGAAAAAGACAAGAAGAAATCCTATTTTCAACCCTAACGCTACTTCTAACCCTAACCACAATTCTAACTCTGAGTACATCAGTTCAGAAAGAAATCCACAACTTTATAAAAGGGAAAATTTTAAAACCCTGGCTGTTGTTATGAACCATCAAGTTGCCTTTGACTTATGACAACCCTGTGTATCAGCAATCTCCAAAATGTCCTCTCCTCAACAGCTCTGCCCAGCACTTACAAACTCAAAGTTCTGGCTTTTCTTATGAAGTCAATTCATCACATAATTGGTCTTCCTCTTTTCCTGCTGCCTTCAATTTTCCCCAGCATTATTTTTGCTTCCACAGAATCTTGCCTTCTCATGATGTGCCCAAAGGAGGACAGCCTTGGTTTCATCATTTTTTGCTTCTGGAGATATTTCAGGCTTTATTTGCTCTAGAACGCACTTCTTCATCTTTCTGGCAGCCTAGGGTATCCACAAAGTTCTTCTCTGGCATCATATTTCAAATGAATCAATTTTATTCGTGTCCGTTTTCTTCACTTTCCAACTTTCACATCTATACATAGTAATCAGGAATATAAGAGTGGATGATTTTGTTCTTGGCCTCCAGTGACACATCTTTGATCATTGTTGTTCTTCCAAGTTTCGGTCTTCTGATTTCTCGGCTGCAGTTTCCATTCCCTTCCAAGTTTCGGTCTTCTGATTTCTTGGCTGCAGTTTCCATTAGAATTGATGACTGAGCCATGGCATACAACACGTTTAGCCATTTCAGTTTCTTCATTGTCAACATTAAAGCTGCATAGTTCTTTTGTAATAACGATTTTTTCTTCTTCTTCATGTTCAACTGGAGTCCTGATTCAGTACTTTTTTCTTTCATTTTCACTAAAAGTCACGTCAAGTCATTGCTGCTTTCTGCCAATAATATGATGGCATCAACATATCTTAAATTAAAGATGTTTCTTCCACCAATTTTCACTCCTCCTTCTTCTGAATTTAATCCATCTTCCTATTTGATATATTCTACATACACACTGAATAGATAAAGAGATAAAATGCACTCTTGTTTGACATCCTTACATATAGGAAACCACTCTGTTTTTCCATATTCTGTCCTAACAGTAGCTTCTTTTCCACACTACAGGCTACAGTCCAGGATGATCAAGTGCTGGGCCATGCCCATTTATTTCTTAATAATCCACAGTTTCTCACAATCCACAGAGCTTTGCAGTAGTGTATAAAAGATGGATCTTCTGAAATTTCTTTGAAGTCTTCCAGTAGCTAGTGGAAATTTGTAGTATGATCTTGAGTGTTCCTTCCTTTTTATGAAATCCATCTTGAGCATCAGGTATTTCTCACTCCACATAAGGTAAAAACCTTTGCTGCAACACTTTGAACATCACTTTCGTATTTCTCACTCCACATAAGGCAAAAACCTTTGCTGCAACACTTTCAACATCACTTTGTTGTATGGGAAATTACTATGCTTCTATAATTACTTCACTTCTTGGATCTCTTTTCTTGAGACTTGAAATGTATATTGAACATTGCCTATCTATTGTTTTGTTTTGCTTTCCATACTTGTTGGCATATTCTTGTTAGGACTTCAAGAGATTCAGTTTCTGTAGCTAGAAATAGTCCTATTGATATTCCATTTCCTTCTGATTATTTATTTCTTCCCACAGGATTCCTCTTAAAAGGAATTGGTCACTCTTTAGTCCCTTCTGTATACGTCTTCACTACACTTTACAGTACACTGTTTCCACCTTCTCTTCATTCTGTCTTGGTCAGATAGCGTGCTTCCCTGTTCTTTCAGCATTCCTAATCTAGGTTTACATTCCTCTTTGATTTCTTGGATCTTCTTGAAGAGATCTATTGTTTTCCCCCTTTCATTGTTCTCTATTTCTCTGCACCATGTATTACAGTAGTTCTCTTTGTCTTTAGATGACAGTGGCTGAAAAACTGCATTCAGAATTCTGACCCTACTTCTATCACCTTTTAGTTTTGCTTATTAAGGTGTGCATCTAAGAAGCCCTAATTTTCTTTGGAATATGACTGGATAGTCTGGGTTGCCTTGTCACTGTAATAGTGCCAATAATTTCAGGCTTGTTATATATCCTTTAAGCTTTCTTGGTCATCTAGTTCTTCAATGGCCTTATATATAGTAGGGATGGGACTTCTGTAATTCTAGGATTTCCAACCCCAAAAGGTACCTAGGATCCTCCATACGGACTTCTCGGGCTAAGAGAGGAGAAAAAGGGAAAAGAGAGGTCTTCCTACTACCATTGTCTGCTTCACAACACGTGCTTTGGCTGGGAAGCAGAAGGGAATGTTTCCTCAGTCAAACTACTTGCTACGAGTCATGTCACTGCTTCAGGGGAGGGTAGTTCATGGAGAGGTTCTCCCAAATAATCTAATGGGTAGTACGACTATGAAACAATAGAATTAAAAAAAATCTCTAGTGTCAATTCATCTGGACCTGAAATTGGGAGAGAAACAGAATAGACAGTTCTCCCCAACTCAGGAACCTTCCTTCTGGCGTTGTTTTCTTCTCTCCAAACCTCAGCTGGTCAGCCACATCCTCCTTCCTCTTATGTCATGTAGGTGGATCAGTCATGTTCAATGAAAGCCCTATTCCTTTCCACAGCAAGGGATCCTCAATCACCATGCTCTTATTTGACAAAATTCTTATTTGACAAAATGCATTCCATTGCCAGTTAATAGCTAACATGCCATCCTGAGCACACCCAGATGTGTCTGATTTCAGAAGCTAAGCAGAGTCAGACTACTGAAAAATATCAGGGCCATCCTGAAATCCTCATGTGCTAGTCAGAATTGACTCTTGGCAAGATGGATCATTATAAGCCATTTGTAAATTGGAAGAGTCTCTCTGGATACCTTGTTAGTCTCAGCTTTCTAACTGGAATTTAACTCCATAACCAACAAACATCTTTTATCTCAGATTCCTACACGTACCTGGTGATCTACAACAAAGGACCGTCCACAGCAAAATCCTCCAATAGAAGCCAAAGCGTTCTCCATATTTGCACTTATAAGGTCAATATCATCAATCTATTGCACAAAACAGGGTAATGGCACAGAATTAAAAAGTACCAGTTTGGTAACTTGTCATTCAGATGAAAGAAAGGCAGTAGTCACTTCCATAGTATTCATAGACTCACAATTTTATGAAAAGATACACTTCTTTCAACTGTTCTTGTGAATTATACAATCATTAAGCCAGCAGACAGAAATTATAAGTAACACGGACCTACATACATCTGCTGTCAGTAACAGTCTTGTAAGAAATCCAGTTGATATTACATTTCTGGTTGCTATCCATAACCAGCAAAATGAGTGAAGTGCATTTGAAAATTTGAAGGTGTTCTCAATTCACTGCTAGAATACAATTTGTTTTATGCGTATCACACATGTGTTATTGTACTGGAGAGCTTTGTATTAGCTTTTCTGAACAATTACAACAGGACACATTGTCTGGAACAAAAACTACTGGAGCGAAGATGGTAAATGGTATTAAAAGCTGCCAAAAGGTCCAACAGAACCAACAGGGCTACTCTTACTATATGAAGTTCCCAGTTAAGGATGTCCACTAATGCAATCAAAGCAGCCTCTCTTCCATAACAAGGCTTGAAGCCAGAATGAAATGCATTTAGATAATCTACTTCATCCAGGAATGTCGGAAGCCGAGAAGCCACCATACACTGTAATAACTTGTCTTAAAAATGAAATATTGGAGGCCAGTAATTATCCAATCCAGTGGGATACAAGGAGGGCTCTCTTATAAAAATCCTCAGTCTTGTCCATATCCTCAGGCTTCTGAAACTGCAACATGTCAGTCGCTGGCCCAGTTGTTTCATCAAAGCCAACTCCCTAGTAAACCAAGGACATGATCTGTGTCCACCACCCTGGCCATCTCCTCATTTGGGAGATTAACCAGAGCTTCAACAGGATTACCTGCAGGAAACTCCCCAAGAACCATCAGAAAACCATTGGGATACATAAACCTCCTATGGCAGACAACTCTTGCAAACACTCAAAGTTCAGTTAAATCTAAACCACATTGGATAGAAACCTGTCAATGACAATAGACCTGATTGGGATACAAGGGTTGTCTCCTATGGCAGACAACCCTTGCAAACATTCAAAGTTCAGTTAAATCTAAACCACATGGGATAGAAACCTGTCAATGACAATAGACCTACAAAGATTTCCTCCACACCCAAATCATAGCTATCTTGGCCAGCACAGAAATCCAGGTCCAGCATGTGTCCTGAATCATGTGTGGGCAAAAAGTATTTGGGACAGCACCATGGTCGTCATGGTGGACAAATCTGGTGCCTGACTAGCCAATTAAGAGAAATGTAACTCAGCATGATCTAGTAAGTCATTGAAGAAAAGTTTTGATACCTTGAATATTCTCTGTTGTTTTGTTGTCACCTACTCTTTTCCCCCAAAATAAGACCTAACCTATAAGCCCTGGTATGATTTTTCAGGATACTGTATTCGTAATATAAGCCCTAATCCGAAAACAATCCCCAGTTAAATTAAACCCGCTCTCCATCATTGTGCAGCAACCAGAAGAAGATGACAGGACTATAAAACATTCCCTGAAAATAAGTCCTAATGCATTTTTGAAACAAAAATTAATCTAAGAACCTGTCTAATTTTTGGGAAAACATGGTACAGTTATCATTTTTACACAAAAATAATACTCTGGGGATTAGCCATAAAGAACTATTGAACATAAGGGATTTCGCATATGTTCATTAATGATTTCAAAACAATTATTTGAACAAAACAATGTATATCAGAGCTTGCTTTCTGCCATTACATTCCTGGCATTAAAATCTGTTTGCACTGAGAACAATCAACTCACATTTATTCCAAAATGTTCTGTAATTCCTCGTCCATGTTCCCCCAATACTCCAAAGGAAAGACTTTCTTCCAAAAATATCCTCACCTTGTATTTATATTTTAACTTTACCTGCAGATTTATTTTAAAAAAATAACAATACAAGGTTACTCAGTGCTTGGGACAAAAAATGACATGCAGGTTATCTCTACTTGTAGCACATCACTACTTTAATATTTTAACTTAATCTTCATGTGTTTTAGTTCTCAGACGCTGCTGAAAACAATTAGTTATGCACAGGATGCAACATCCTGTGCTTTAGTAACTCACTGAGTAACTTTTGGAACCACTCTAACACTATTGTTCAAGTCAATTTTAATTAAGAATGGGGCAATAATGAAGATTCCTGTGATTTATACAGACTAGAATAGTGATCTCTTTACAGTATACATAGATTTAAGAATATATTTAACAGTTTTGATTTTACAGCAGTGATACCATTGTTCGAACCTTGGGAGAAGACAGAAAAAAAGTTCCTCAGAGAGGCACATACACTATCCTTTTAGAACATATTCTTGCAATTTCTCAGTCACAGAATATTTTGGCTTATTTAACGCCATTAGCAATGCAATCTCAGACTGAGGCAGCTGACTATTTGTTTATCTCACAGAGGTTTAATATGCCCCGGGATTTTGATTCTTTTTATTGGTTGTTTCATTTTTAGCTGACCCAGTTTTTTGTTTGTTCCTGTTTCAACTGGTGCTCTTTGCTGTATCTGCTCTATTCATTCATTCATTCATTCATCATTTTATTTATAACCTGCCCATCTAGACCAAAGTCTATTCTGAGTGGTTAACAATGAGACATAAAAACAAAAGCAGTATAATTAACAACAGTGACAATATAATTCAAAATGGGAAAGTCATTAGATCCTCAAAAAATCCTCAAAAATAAGGAATTAAATCCAACTTTAGTCACAGCTAGAACAGACCTATTAAAGTTGGTGAGACTGTATAGCCAACTCTAATACAAGTCTCACTGATTTTAATGGGTCTAATAAGTTGGACTCAATTCGTTTCTCCACAGACTGGATAGCATACAATTTTGTAAACTGAAACATTTTACCTCTAAGCCTCCAATTTCAGTAACAGTTGTTGTGAAAAATGATTTGTGAACATGGATATTTTGAACCTCAACAGCTATTTAATTTAAGTATTCTGAATAAATACATAACATATTGTTCTGTTTCCTTGTGTAATGAAAAAGCAACACATTTTTTAAAAAGAACACAACTATTTTATACAATATTCACACAGGCAGTAGTGATGCAAGCTTTGTCTTACAGAAAAATATTATCTTTACAGAGCATAATGTAGAATTTTAAGCATTGGGAATATAGTTATTATTCATATCCCTCAATATATAAAGGTATTACTGTCAGGGGTGGCAGAACTGAGACTATTTTTGTAATAATTATTTGCCAAAACACTGAGCCTATATGTGTCAGCTCTCTCCACCTCCTTCTGATTGTTGGAATACAACTCCCGTTGATCAGGCTGAAGAAAACGGGCACACATTGTGCAAATAAAGGAATTTTCCATGCATCCTCTCATGTCTCCATTAATTATTTATTTTGTTATTGTACATTACAGAGAATCTCACTAGGCTATGCTATTCTACAAAATGCTGGACTACAAAGTAAAGTGGTTCCCCGCATAGCGACGATAATCCGTACCAAAAAAATCATCGCTATCTGGATTCGTCACTATGCGAGGCAAAAAACCCCATAGGAACGCATTAAAACACGTTTAATGCGTTCCTATGGGCTGTAAACTCACTGCTATGCGGAAATCCTCCATGCGGCTGCCATTTTCGCTGCCCGGTAAGCGAGTAAAGGGCGCGAAAACACTGCGGGTGGCCATTTTTTCCGACGGCCATTTTGGAACCACTGATCAGCTGTTCCCAAAACATCGCTATGCGAAAATCGGTAAGCGAAACGCTTACCGATCATCGCAAAGCGATTTTTAGCCATTGAGAACATCGCAATGCGATCGCTTTTGCAATCGCAAAAAACGCGTCGCTATGCGGATTCATCATTAACTGAGGCGCTCGTTATGTGGGGCACCACTGTATCCTGTTTTTTTGTAGTCCAGCAGTGGATTCACCCAACAGCTCCTGAAATCCAGCAGCCATCCCGCACATATGTCAAAGCATGCTTTCACAGCTGTAAGTGTGAGATGTTGGCTTTCAAAAAGCTGAGAGTTCTGTAATGAATTCCATGGTTTTTCTGTATTTATGCAACATCACACATCCCAGCTTCTGTTTCTGCTGTCCTTCACTGCCTAGCTTTCCTCCCCCAGCTTGTCTTTAAAACTGTTCTAAAAATGTATTTTGAAAAACCAAGACAAAAAAGGGCACTTCAGACATTTCAGATTATAGCTGCCATCACCACTGGCCATACTGGCTGGGGTGAATGGGAGTTGCAAGCCACAACATCTGGAAGGCAAAGGCCTGGGGAAGGATTGTTTCATCTGTAAATGTACAGAATCTACTACTTTTCTTGGCCGTGTAGTTAGAAGAATGGAACACAGCACCACCAAGACAAGACAGCCAATTGGGGGGTGCAGTGTCGTCAGTATGAGGATGATGTCTAACTCTCTCTTTCCTTTCCATATAATTCCAAGGGAAATGTTTTGCTTCTACATCAGTGTCTAGTGTCAGTAATGGATTGGTTGAGAATAAATAAATGGAAGCTTTACCCAGACAAAAGAGCAGATTCTGGTAAATTAAAACAGAAATCAGGGAACAGGCTTTCAACCTATGCTAGATGGGGTTACATTCCCTCTGAAAATATTAAGTTTGCAGTTTGGGTATGTTCCTGGATTTGTCCAAGAGCATGGATCTCAGCAATGGCCAGGAGTTCATTTGCCCAACTAGAACTAGTGCACCAGCTGCATCAGTTCCTGGAGATCTCTAACCCGGCCATGTTGACACATGCCCTAGTTGCATCCTGTCTGGATTATTATTCTGCACTTTATGTGGGGCTCCCTTTAGAAAGTGTTCAGAAGCTTGAGCAGGTCCAAAGAGCTGGCTGCAGGGATTGCATAATTCCATAACAGCTCCGCTGGTGGCCAGTCCATTCCTGAGCAAAATTCAAAGTGTTGGTTTTGACCTAAAAAGTCATAAATGACTTGGGTACAAGTTATGTGAAATACCGTATCTCACTTTACGAGCCTACCTAGGTTTTAAAATCATCAGGGGAGGGCTTTATCTCAGTCCCACCACCTTCACAGGTGCATTTGATGAGGACATGAGAGAGGACATTTTTGACACTGCTCCCAAGCTATGGAATTCCCTCCCTTTGTCTCCAACCAGGCAAAGACCTTTTTCTTTAGGCATTCCTTTTCACACTAACAGGCTGACTAATTTTGGGGTGGGGGTTCTTAAAAACAGGGCTCCTGTTTTTTGTTGTTGCTGTTGTTTTGGTTTTTTAAATACATTTTTAGAACAGATTTAAACTATTTTTATCCATTAGTTTTGAATTTGATATAAATTCCAGTGAGTGAAATACTCCATTTCCAGTGTCTCCTGACTTTGGCATAGCTGCACTCAGTTCTTTTGTGCCTGCACTAGCTGTCCTAGTGGATACAGCCATAAAAAGGACAGGGGGCTAAACTAATGTCTACATAAGCAAGCAAACGTCTAACTAAATAATAGTAAGCAACCACATATTTCTTCAAGTTACAGTTCACAGGCCAACGTTGATTATAAAACAAAAATTATGTACTTACCAATTCTGGAAGAGGACATAAATCTCCAGTATTAATGAACAGACCCTCTACCACAATAAATCTTCGTGTTACCCGAGCTTTACGAGGATTCTGTAGAAAAAGAATCAGATACAAATACTTCTTAAGATTCATTTGCTTAAGAAAAACTTGTTTGGGTTTCTACCTGAACCAGGACATCATCAAAAGCAGATAAAATTTTGAAGATTAATCTCAACTTTATACTTTACCAAAAGTCAGTTGAATCACTCTCATGTTTCATGAAAACATACTTTGGAACTTAGGCACTCTTTAGACCAGTAGACTCTCCAGCTTACTGAAATGTTAAATGCCTCTTTCTCTTACTGTTTTAGAATAAAACAGTAAGAGAATGTAAATGAAGAAAGAACTTTGCATAGTCCTTTTGCACCATCCTAACTACTTAACACAGACTGTCAACAAGAGTGTTGCCTAAAAAATGTGTCTGGCTATTTTTCCATGAAAACAAATGAAATATTATACATGGCACTGGCAATTATGCAGTTTCTATTAGCATGTGTTCTATTAAGTATATTTTTTAAGGATAGAATTTTGTGAACTGTATTTACAGTTCTACCTACAGATTTTTTGTCCTCCTCCAAAATGTTAGTCACAGCAAATGAAACACAGCAGCCAAATCTATTACAAATGTTAGACAACATTCAGTTTTCAGAATGGCTTAGAAGAGAAATAATGAGCAATGAAGCCATTGAAATATGCTACTTATTAAAAAGAAAATGCAACCTACTACACACCAGTTTCTTCAAAGGAACAGTACCTTTTGATCTTCAATCTCTTGCTCTTTTAGTAGATGCTCAAGGTCAGCCATATCATTATGTTTAAAAAACTTAATGTTACTTCTGGATGCCTGTAAGCCTTTTTGAATAGCAAAGCAGACGGCTTCATCGCTGTAAATACAGAGTCTGTCAGTTCATTCTTAATTTAAGCTACATTTTCAAGGCTGATCTCTTTCCACAATGTACCTCAACACACAGCTGCTTCAAATACTACTTTTGCTCCACGTAAGTAGTCTCATCCATCTCTAGCTATATGTATGTGGCCCCCAAAACACATTTTTCTGCTACAAGAAATGATGGCTTAGTACTTCTTTGTGCTTATGCATTTCTTTCAAGCATGTAATAAAAGCTTTTACTTCTGCTACAATGAACCAGCCTGAACTGCAATTTTAAATATGATTTATTGAAACAAACTAGCTTCATAAGCCCCAGTTTGAAGACAGCTGTAGTTTATGAAGGTAAGAATAACCACAGTTAATCAATGTTTGAAAGCTACCATTAATGAGACTTCATTAGTACCACAAGCAAATCTTCCAATTGTTCCTTCACAGCAGCACCAGAAGAAAGTCAGAGGAATGATTGGAAGATTTGCTTGTGGTACCAATGAACTCTTATTAATAGTAGCTTTCAAACCATAGTTCTGTTCATGCAAAAATAAACCATAGTTGATTGTTACATCTGAATGTAGATAGTCTTGACGATCCAACTGCACAGCAATTCCTATAAACAACACAGCAACTTCCTTGTTAACTCAGTTCGTAGGTACTGCTACGGACTATATTGTTTTTTGCTTATTAAAATGTTTGTATTACATTTTTTAACTCTAAACAGGTCACCAAGATGGCTCACAAATTTAAAATCCAAATACAGTTGATCAGGTACTACCAAATGAAACAGAGTAATTTCCTTTAAATTCCAGAGGAATCTGAATAATCATAACATATGTGGAAGACTCCATGAAGGGAAGAACAATCCCCCAAGGTGATAAGCTGAAAGTCTTGATGTGACTGGCAATAAAGCTGCATTTTGGACAAATTTATTTTGTACACCAATAACAAAAAGAACACAGAAAAATGCCTTTGGACCCTTAAGAGCAGGGACGGGCAAAGCCAAGCCTACTTTCCCCAGTACTCTCCAATATATATTTTAAAAATTTCAAAAACTGCTTAGCTCCAAAAGCTATCTTGTGCCCTAACAAAGTGTGGGAGACAATTCTGCCGAATTTTGGAGGTATTCCAAACCCCCCTCCCAAAACTGTTTGCAATTATTTTTGGTCACTAGAAAGTGTGTATGTGGGGGGTCAATTATAATGAAACACTTATGGGGGCATATAAGGCACAGAAGCAACTCTCCAAAATGAGTGGACATGTGTAGGCCTTAGATCTCTGGAGGCTGCTCATCTATTGAGACAGCATAGCTTTGATCCAAACAGATTAAAATACCACAGGTCAAAAGTGGCATGCAAAACTGAACAAACGATTTAAAAATTAGAATCATACAGTTCATATAGTGCATCTCTCTCAACATGCTAGTGGCCAAAATATGAACTAGTTGCAGTTTACAATCACTATTCAAAGTTCTAGAGTGCAGTAAATGCTGGATGTCACTATGGCACATGATGGGGAGCACTCTTGATCTATCCTGGAGAATGGAATGACTCTCAGATTTCAGTGGTCTAAAAGGAGGGGATGGCATCAGAATAGTCTGTCTCCAGAGGCTTGTGGAAACAGATAATTTCTGATGTCTCTTGTGGTTTTCCTATTTGGAATCTTGACACTTGGGTTGATCACTGGAATGTAGACACTGCCAAGAATATATCTTCTACTATCCATAAAACTAAGTCATCTTAATCTATTCTGGCTGACTAGAACACACTAGAACTACAGCTAATACTTAAGTGTAGGAAAATGAGACTAAATCTAACAGAACATAAGTTCCTCTCAGATCTTTTCTGGCTGGTAATGGCAAGCAACATACATCCCTGTGCCATAATCACATCTGCAACATTTCACTTGGTGGAGCTATCATAAATGGCAATGGGAACTAATAAGGCAGAACACTCAATATATTTTGCAAAATACTGTGCTTGAAATTGCTTGTGTACTAAGGCTTGGAATCAGACTAATGAGGGTACTTCTAAAAGCTTTCGACAAAGGAAATCATTAGCGTCAATTCTGTAGAAAAATGTTCCTGTTTATACAGGCTGGCATTATGGACATGCTTCTTAAGGTGGTGAGTATTGTCACGTCTATTATGGACCTTTGCCCATTGTAGATTAATAGACATGTAAATCAAGGCTAATGGAGTGTGATGCAGTTGGCAAATCTCTATGAGTAGACAGAGCCTCAAGAGCTCTTGGGATGCTGTTCGGATGCTCCTCCTCAAAAAACCCAACCATGACCAAATTGATTTTAACAGCCACTGTTCCATTTCAAATTTACCATAACTTGGCAAGGACTTTAAGCTATGATGACTAAATTCTAGTAGCCTAAAAGAAGGCTAAACAGCTCATCCAGACTAGTTTTGGTAAGGTTTTTTATTTTATTTTATTTTCTGGTAAGACAGATTATACAGAGCTTACTCTGGTTGCTTGACCAATTTTGAGGCTGGTCCTTTTTTGTTCACCCTGGCAGAGTATCTGAGAAGGGAGCATTTCTAGTTCTCCTGACATGCTTGTATTGATTCAGTACTGTCAACACCATGGTATCTTTCCACACCATATAGGTGGAAGAGGCCGTGCAAACACTTTGCATGGCTTTGATCCTACTTTACATATCTGCTTCAGAATGTAGCAGTGGGACTAAAGGGACATTCTCTTCTTCTTCCCACCCAACACATTTGGAGTAAAGCAGAAAATGGTAATAGTGCAACATCTATTTTGCCTTCTGGTTTCTTTTCTCCCACTCCCAGATGTCTGCCTAGGGGATTTTGGGTAAATTCTGCAAATGGGAGTCCTAAAAATCCAGTCTTCCCATCCCTAGCATCATCTAGCTCAGAAGAAGGCTCAGCAGCTCAGCCAGACTGCTTTTGTAAGTTTTTTTGTTTAACGTTAAGTGAACTCATTCTAACTGTTTTTGTCAGCTCAATTTCTTTGCTTGGCTTTAACTACACAGATACTGACAAAGCGTTTCAACAGATGTTAATAATTTTAAATAGCTGATTTTGAAGCTGCAATCCATTGTAAAAAGTAAATAATCATGTTAAAAGCATTTCATAAGTACTTAAAACTGTGCTTTAACAAGCACTTTAAAATGTTACCAAGATATATCCTTGAAATTGACAAGATCAAATAAATGCTCTTAAGTAATATATAATTTAAATTGTGTTTGATGATTTTTGTAATAGTTGAGGTTTCTGTTCCCACCTTTTCCCCAGGATCTATTAAGGGACTTTTACAGTGGTTAATACATTCAACTGTCTCAGTCAATCATGCAAATTTGTTTTTAAACTGAGGGAGATTTTATAATCTGTATTCAGTAAAAGAAAGAAGCACATCTTTCAAAACTAGTTAACACAGAGAGAGAAACAGCATTTTTAAAAAAAATTCTAGGTCATCTCCAGGAGAGGGGCTTATGTAAAAAACATTTAACATAACTGGGCTGTACAAAGGTACTGCCCAGCAGCCGGCAAAAAATTCTTGGAAAAAAGTGTTTAGTTGGGGAAATGCTTCTGACTATGTCTATGAGACACCCTCCTCATATAATTCAAGTCATATGCCAGTTCTTCCATGCATTTTTGGGATGCAGAGGCAGTTAGAAAGAGACATAAGCTCTATCCACTCATGATCTTGAAGTGTGCTGAGTCCTCATTATAATATGCCATTTGGATTTCTGGGACTCCACTTCCCAGAATTCTCCAGTCCAAGAGATCTATGTGGCAGACAACAACAACAACAACAACAATAACAATAACAAAACAAAAAACAAAACAAAAAACCGAGGAAGCTGGGCTGGCGTTAGACCTTATAATTAGGCCTTTCCCCCAGGTCAGAGAAATTTAGGTGCCTATCAAGAGGAGAATTCTGGGAGCTGGAGTAAAAAAAACGCAAAATGGGAAATCTCCAGCCCCACATACTGAGGGGACAGCACTAGCCCCATTTTCATCATTACTCTAATCATGGAAAAACAATTATCTGAAGAGAGGTAGACTACTGTAGTTGAGTAGTCTATTTGAGCTAAAACCTTGACTGGCGAGGGGTCCTGGCATGTATGAAGAGACTGCTTGTCTACAGCAGCCTTCCTTTTCAAGCAGCTATGTTTCAGACAGAAAGGGGTCAGAGTAGTGTGCTTCCTTCAAGATATGTGGGTTCCACACACTTTAAAGCACAACTGATTAGGGCTATAGTGTCTGCTTGCAGATGAACTCTAGTCATAATTGCACTTTAGGGCATTTTGAAAATTTCCTCCTGGAAAGGCCCAGTCAAAGTCTAAACCTGTACATCCTTCAAAAGTGTTTCAAGATCCAACTGTCTTAGAGCAGAAGTGATGAAAACACAGAGAGAAACTACCTTAATCTATCAGAGATTTATTTTCTTGGGAGATGGTTGGGCTGGGAAGCAGGCCTACCAAGAGAAGAGTCTTCGGTTGCATATTGCATATAAAAATACATGAACCAGTAAATCACTGACAGTGTGAGAATTGTCACAACTGTAGCAGAAATTGTTCCCCAATAACTGCTATTAACTCCAGACAAGTTTGCCTGCTGCTCATGAACTTTTAACACAATAGTATATGAACTCATTCTAGGATTGTTAGCGTTGGAGGAATGAAGCTACTTGTTGTTTATTCGTTAAGTTGTGTCTGACTCTTTGTGACCCCATGAGATTGGAAAGCACTTAGAAATAAGTTATTTGTAAAGAATCTTCACACTATGCACACACACACATATATACAGTCATGGCCAAAAATATTGGCACCCTTGCAATTTTGTCAGAAAATGCAACCCTTATATTAGAAAACAGTTGCAGTTGCAAATGTTCTGGTACTCACATGTTCATTCCTTTGTTTTGCATTGGAACAACACAAAAAACAGAGAAGAAACGTCAAACCTGATACAATCCCACACAGAAACCCAAAAATGCTCTGGCCAAAATTACTGGCATCCTGTCTAAATTGTAAGAAATAATTGCTTTTCAAGCATGTTATGCTCATTTAATTTGTATTTAGACACACCTGTTGCAAGTAAGAGGTGTGGGCAATATAATAATCACACTTGCAACCAATTAAGATGGAGAAAAGTTGACTGAACCTTTGTGTTAATTTGAAAGAAAACATTGTGGAAAACCATCAACAATCTCAAGGCTACAAGTCCATCTCCAGAGATCTTAATGTTCCTGTGTCCACTGTGTGCAATATCATCAAGAGGTTTACAGCCCATGGCACTGGACGTGGATGTAAGAGCAAAACTGCTGAAAAATTACAAAAAAGGGTTGCTCAAACGGTGGATACCGAACCCAGATTAACTTCCAAACAAATTCAAGCTGATCTGCAGACACAGGGTACAACAGTGTCAGCTCGCACTGTCTGTCGCCATCTGAATGAAAAGGTAGGAGACCCAGGAGGACACCACTGCTGACACAAAGACATAAAAAAACAAGACTAGAGTATGCCACAATTTATATGACAAAATCACAATCCTTCTGGGAGAACGTACTGTGGACAGATGAGACAAAAGTAGAGCTTTTTGGTCAATGACATCATGGCATTGTTTAAAGAAAAAGAAATGAGGCATTCAAAGAAAAGAATTGACTCCCTAGAGTCAAACATGGTGGAGGTTCAAAGATGTTTTAGGGTTGCTTTGCTGATTCTGGCACTGGATGCCTTGACTGTGTGAACGGTATCATGAAATCTGATGATTACTAAGTAATTTGGGGGTGCAACATAGTGTCAGAAATCTACTCTCTGCCAGAGGTCATGGGTCTTCCAGCAGGACAATGACCCGAAACACACTTCAAAAAGCACTCAGAAATGGTTACAAACAAAGTGCTGGAGAGTTCTGAAATGGCCAGCCATGAATCCAGATCGGAATCCCATAGAACACCAGTGGAGAGATCTCAAAGCAGCAGTTGGGAGAAGGCATCCTTCAAATCTGAAGGCACTGGAGCAGTTTGCAAAAGAAGAATGGTCCAAAATTCCAGTAGAGAAGTGTAAGAAACTCATTCATGGTTACAGGAAGCAAATGATTTCAGTAATTTTTTTCCAAAGGGGGTGCTACCAAATATTACGTTAAGGGTGCCAACAATTTTGGCCAGTGCATTTTTGGATTTCTGTGTGGAATTGTATCAGATCTGACTTCCCCCCCCCTCTCTTTTTGGTATGTGTGTTGTTCCAGTGCAAACCAAAGAAATGAACATGTGAGTACCCAAACATTTGTAACTGCAACCATTTTCTGAGAGAAGGGTTCCATTTTCTGACAAAATTGCAAGGGTGCCAATATTTTTGGCCATGACAGTATCTACACAAAAGGCAGAAGTTCTGTCAAGGATCTGAAGAACTTTTTCCAAAAACCTCTCTCTGGAGTACCAAAAAATTGAAGAATACATACACAAACACAATGTCTCCTCGTTTTGAATAGGCAGGAATAGCACTGGCAATAGTAGCAAATCCATAGGAATATATGATAGCTTCCTCGGTCTTCATAAATTTGGCAAGTCGTTCTTCCAATTCTAAATGTACATCTGTTTAGACAGTAGAATTCATGCATTTATAAGCAGAATGATTGATTTAATATAATTACCTGTACTCAACATCATTAACACCATGAAAAAAATCATTCAACTTTAGCAGCTATACATAAAGTGGCAGAATTATCATCACCTTTTTTTTGCTGAAGAACATAAAGACAAACAACTGACATCCTCTCACTTTATGATATATAAAGAAATTCACTTCAGTATTTGACTTCATTACTTTAAAAGCAGGCGTAGGCAGCATGCATGTCCAAGTCAATTATGGTACTTCAACAGGGGCCTTGCCACCAGACTACTAAAACTGGGCACCATGACAGCAGGAAAGCAAAACAAGTAGTGCAGTTTCTGCCTCTAAGCAAAACACTTAAGACATTAATACAAGGAGCAAGGAAAGAACATATGCCTTATTTGGGAGCCAATCAGCACTTCCTGAAGTGCTAATTAGCTTCCAAACAGGTGCGTGCTCTCCTCACTCCTTGCTTTAATGAGGACGTGCTAATGGCAAAGGACAGGGATGCTATTATCATTCTACAGTATATTTCACAGAACTGAACCTTTTCCTTCAAAACAAAAAGTGCACCCAGGAGGATCAAAACCACTCTCTTCTAATGTACACAGCCATTCTCAAGCCTTTGTCCACAGCCCCAATTTGGACTGCCCATGTTTAAAAAACAACCTTGCTACTGTATTACAAGGACGCAACTGAGGAAAACCGTAGATCTCACCCTTTACATGTTTCTATGCACTTAAAATCCTAATCATATTGCAGATCAAAAACATACTTTTCTAACAGAGTCTGGGATAAAGGGTAATAAATTGGTTAGTTGTAAACAGGAATATAAACATTAATCCTTAACAGTCAATACACCTAATTTCTACCTTCAAGGGCATCCATCAGGATTAGAATAGCTAAGTCTCCTACCACTCTTTATTGGAACTGTTGGCTAGTAAGGTATACACAGAATATCCATTAGAAAATTATGTTCTTAATTTGCAATATGACTGTTCTATACAGATCCTAGTTTACAAAAGAGAGGCATGGCAGAAACATGGAGTATGGCACATACACTTATAAGATATAGTAGGAAATCAGTCCCCTGTATTGAAAAAACACATGGCTCAAAAGTTCAAGCCAGATATTCCGATCCAGATCTAGCCAAAACTGTGTTGACTATGGTCAAGGAGAGTGTTACAGTTTTAACACTTTTCTAAAAAAAGGAAGCACAGAAAAAAGTTCTTATATAGCAAGCTATTAAATCACAGTGCCAAAAATGCCAGTGATAAGATGAACAATTTCCTTTCTAAAACTCATATTCTCAGATGGCCTTATGGAAGGCATTTTTAAAAATCCTTTGAACAAAAATAATCAGCAAGTCTAGCACTTCCGCCAGTCAAGTTATAGGCAAGATAAGGGGGATGTTTAAGTTTGCTGTATTGCTATTTACGCCATATTTTATCTCCACAGCAGAGGAATATGAAATGCTATCACAGGCTGTGATTAAACATGGATTGGGAGTTTCAGAACAGGATTTGTATTATAAAACCCCTATGCCTTAAAGCCTGGATTCAAATTCCATGATTATCACACAGATATAGCATGTGAACAAAATCTACATTACATTGTAGATTTTCTCATCCAAAAATCAGCCTGCCCTCTTGTGGCATCTTTGAAAGGAATGGCTTCATCACACCGGATAAATAAGGGTTAAGATTAGAGATGAGGGTATTCTTATTGGCATATGAATATCCCCAAACAGGTGGCAGTAACAAAGGTCCAGCCCCATGGGGCCGAACGGTCCATTCACCGATCAGCTGCTGCTGCGGACGCTGTGATTCTTCCAATAGCTTTGTAGACTGCGATCGGCTAGCCACTCCTGGCAGCAGGTGGGAGGACAAGCCTTGCTGCAAGGTTGAAGAGTGGCTCTCAGATCACGATCTGCAGAGCCACTGGAAGAATCGCAGCATCTGCAGCAGATCAGTGAGTGGACCATCTGGCCCCATGGGGCTGGACTCTCATTATTGCCACCTGTGCGGGGATATTCATATTCGTATATGAATACCCCCATCTCTAGTTAAGATCATAGGGAGATGAAGATTAACACAGCTCAGCTGATCAGAGACATACACATCAGGTATGACACCATGAGAAAGGCTATGAGAAAAACTACAGAATCTTGATGATCAATATTCAAGAGATGGAGTGCAGATGTGCAAGGAGGCTTTGGCCCAGCCCAGCACATTACCTTCAAGGAAATGTAGCCATCGACAGAAAAAAGGCACATTATAAGCTATAAAACATCACTAGATTTAAAAAACAAAAACACCCTGCTTGCATAACTATTAACCAGAATTAGGAATATCAGCACAGTTTCCAATTCTTTCATATGAGGATAAAACTAATTAGTAAGCCCTTTAGCGCAGTGGTTAAACTGCAGTACTGCAGTCAAGCTTCTGCTCTCAGCCTGAGTTCGATCCCAACAAGTTCAGGTCGCTGTCTAGACATAGGATATTCGTATTCATATCCTTGGGAACACAAACACAAATACTGGCACCACAGGTACCTGGGGAAACCAGGCCCTCCCCCACCGAACCAGCAGGTCCACTTAATGCTTGCTGCATGGTGCACAACCAGCATCATTCTTGTCACGCCAATCCAGGAAGTGGCATGGCCAGAGTTTCCCTGCCTTCTCACACAGCAAACCACTGCAGCAAAGAGGTGGGATGAAGAGTCTCCCTGCTCAGCTGTTCAGCAGTTGGCTGTGTGGGGAGGTGGGGAAATGCCAGCCAGACTGCTTTCCAGATTGACACAATGCGAATTATGCCGGCTGCACATGCCACATAGTGAGCAATTAAGTGGACCTGCTGGATTGAGAGGGATGATCCGGTTTTCCCAGGCACCTGTGGTGCCATATTCATATCCCCAGGGATAAGAATACAAATATTGATGTCTATTGGTGGCTCAAGATTGACTTACCCTTCCGTCCTTCTGAGGTTGGTAAAATGAGGTGGCAAAGTGTTCCTTGCTTAATTACAGAGTAAATAGCCCAGAGGCTGGTCTAAGCACTATGAGGTTGTATACAAGTAAACAACAAGAATTATAATTAGTTACAAGTAACCAATAACAATATTGAAATGCATGCCCTACTTACCGAAGGTTCCATAAAATCCTCTAGGGCCACAAGAACCTACCCCGTATTTTGCAAGAGATGCCTGGGCGGCATTCTTCAAAAAAGCAAGTAGGAAAAAAACCATGTTAGGCAGAATTCTGTGGTAGATATTAAATCATAATTAAGCACTGCTGTACCATTACTACTGACACTTTCATGATTACACATCATTGCAAAAAAGGTGCCTGAGAATATCTAACAGAGTTGAGATTTTAGCCAGACTAGGGACAGAATTCAGTGCCTAGCTGGACAGTCATTTGGAAACCTCAAGTACCATTTTATAAGAAAGTTATAAACAGTAGTTGTACGAAAATAAGCCCAGAACATGGTTTGGAGTGGAGTCAAAGATTAAAACACAGTGTCCTATTTACATATAAGAAAAAAAATTGTGTGCCTTATTACTACAGATCTCTGCCAAGAATGTCTCCCTCACTTCCAATGAGTGGGAATGAAAGAGGAATTGGGGGTGGGGGTGGAGAGAGTAGCCCACCCATTTCCACCCTCAGAGCCCCCAACCATTTCAAGCTTACAACATTATAATACAAAACATACACTTCAACAGCTATGACACCACTTACCTTTACCCTTTCATTATCCAAAAGTCCAAGAAAATTAAATGATGCAAAATTTATGCATTCTTTGCCATTCACAGTAATGTTATGCGTTGGAGGCCTTAAAATACATAAATTAAACACAGCATTACTTAGTAATTATCATCATAGCTTAGTCAGATAACATTCACATTTGAGAAGCATATTCTGTTCAA